GGCAATTCTGAGATTTTTTTTTTTTAATATCAACCGGTAAAACACCAACTAAATTCCGCTTAATACTGATTTTTGATCAATGGACAAAAAGCACTGCCAATAAGTAAAACGGCGATTCCAAACTACTAAAAATTTCACCACAACCACATTGGCTATATGGTCCACATAATTTCAGTTCATTGTTTCATTGGTGGTCGATAGTGATGTTGTTGATGATGAAGAAGCAATATTTCACACCCATCCTAGTGCTTTGTCGTACCAAGTTTTCTGTTAGTATCTGCGGGATTCTCATCAAAAATTTGCAAACATAGTAGAGTACTGTTCTTTTTTCCGCAAATTTTTTTTTCTTTTAACCATTGACAGGGTATCAAAAATGCAAAAAATCAGAGATAGAATTCAGCAAAAATCAAATCTGTAAAAATTTGCACTTTTTTATTCACAACTGCTTTGATGCTCATATAAATTGTCAAACCGATTGAATACATATCTATATGTATGTATAACAAAATTTCTGTTGCTTTATTTTAGCGTAAAAAGTGGAAAAAGCAAAATTTTTTTTCTTTCAAGAATAAGATGAAGATAAAGTTTAAGAAATAACATATACTAATACAGAAGGGAAAAAAACTGTAAACAACTGAATAAGTATACAGCTTCAATGATACGCATAAATGGCAGTAGATTCAAATTGAATAGTTGTTAACAGTGTTTTCAAAAGAGGGAATAAAAAGATGAAGAAGAAGAGATGGTAAATGAAAAATGCCATCGTTTTAGCTGCTTCTTAGAAAAAAAAAACTTGTTTTTCACGTTTGAAGATTTATGCACAACAGCAGTTGTATTCAACAAATCAAAGATCACTACTGTTTCAGATAAACATCTTTCAAAGAACTGATCATAAAATCGTTTAAATATGCGCACATAAACATACGTTGGTTTTTCATTTTTGGTTTTACCAAAACTAAACTGTTTACAAGTTTTCAGAATTCCATTCCAGTAAATTACACCAGAATATGTTTTTCCATTACTGCATTCTAAAATTAGAAATGAGGAGGAACTATTCCGTGTACTAATTAGTCATTTGAAATTGTTGAGAAACATTCGACTGTTAATTACAGAATACAACGTGATAACTATTTCAAAATTGCTATAATTAAAATTTTGTTCATCAAAAATTTTGTTCACTCGAAGAATCGGTCATAGGGATTAGTTGTCTGATTAAAATAGCTCAATGCTAACCTTAATTGTAGACATCAGATAGTAATTCATTTATAGTCTCGATGATTGAATAATAAATACAAACAAACAAAAAAAAACGGTGTTAAGACACAGTTAACAAATAAAATTTATGAAAGCTATAAAAATCTACAAAAAATATTACGCTTCAATTACTGATTTATCTGCTTTATAATCGAATCACCGTGGTTGAAACTTTTTGCTGTTGTTTTATAATTTTCAAGCAACAACTGCAGAAAGGTTTAGAAATTCTGTTATAAACATAACAACGATAAACTGCTAAACCATTGTAAATTTGAAGCCATCAAAGTGTGATTAAAGAGAAGCAACTTGGATTAATTTTTTTATCTTCTTTTCATTACTGTAAAATTAGAAATTTTCTCTTTTTCCTAGTTTTTTTTTACAAAAAATTATCATACTTTTTCGAAAGCTATTTTCTACGAAAGATTAAAATAAGCTAATTTAGAAATTAGTAAAATCAGAGTAAAATTGCTCGAAAAAATTTTAATTGTACTTTTCAAAAAACAGTTCACTTTTAGAATACATCATTTTCTAGAATCTTAATCAACAGTATTACTCGAGCAGAAGAGTTACCAAAAAAATAGCACCTATTTAACTGCTATAGTTGTTCAATTTCTTAGGCGCATTTTTTACAATCGGAAACAGCTTAATGAATAAAACTTAAACAATGATTATAAATTTATTCTTGTTTTTTATCTAAAAATTCAATTAATTTCTTTATTGGTTTTCTAGTGTATAGAACCTTTCAAAATCTTCTATCAAATTTTACAGAAGTTGCCTATAAAAATTCTATTCTTTTGGTTGTTCTAATACGATAATAATTGGTTTTTAAATCTTTTTTTTTTTTTTAAAGATTTTTTAAAAAGAAAATTTTTAAATTTTATCAAAATTTTCAGGAACTGCAAAAAAAAAAAATGATACAAGTCTCTGCTATACAACAGCATTTATCTATTTAAGCATTTTATAAGTATATTTATAAAACGAACTTTCTTTGAAACAATCTCAGCCAAGTTTACATTGTTGTCGATTGCATAGCATTGATGTAATTTAACGTTATCTGTTGGTTTAATATCTGTTATGCAAAAACTGTCAAAAACAACAAAGTACAGTTATAGTTATATGCACAGAACAAGTCTAAAACCTTGATTAAAGGTTATACGTTACTACTGTAACAGCAATTTTGGTTAAAGTACACTGTTTAACGGTGACCTTTAACGACGAGCATTTGCACAGCTAAAAAAAAAATTATTTTGAATATTTCTTTTTAAACAACTGTACTACCGGCATTCTTAAGAAATTTCAGTATTCCCAACAGTGAATAGGTTTAATTTTTGCTTACATCGACTATATAGATTCTGGAAATCCACAATTACGAAGGGTTACAAAAATTGAAACGGCCGTTTTTTTTTTTTTTTTTTTTTTTTTTTTTTTT